ACATTAATTAGACACTTTGTAATGTTGAATTGCCCCACAAATTGTATAGCTCAATGTGGGTTACAACTAAGCATGCATTTGCCCATTGTCCACCGATGACATTTAAGAAGCCTATATCAAAATCAGCAGATTAGCATGATTTGATGAATAAATACAACGTGACAGATCCCAGCTAATGCGAAGCAATACAACTCTGCTTAAATCAATAGAATGGTTCCTAGGTTATACTAGCTGAGTGATATTTGTGAAGCACAGTAAACACATCTATAGCTGTAGAATTGCTAATGCTGCCAGTTATAAAGCTTTTTTTTTGCTCCAGTACATTTGAAAAAAGCTATGCTTATGCCTGTCTTTGTATTTCACTCTTCCTTTCTTTTGCTTTTTTCTTGTTGTATTTTTTAACTTTTTCCCCAGCTAGGGGAAGCAACTATAATTATTTCTCTCTAGTATAATCCAAGTGCTCAGATAGCTCATGCAATGCAGGCTGATTTGTTAATAGTTGAACATAAACCCTTCAGCTGGTGATCAGAAAGACACTCAACCATCTCAACTTTAGTGCCAAATCTGATGACAGGAGATGGGAGTACAGACAATATTCTTGGCACGGTTCCCTGTTTACAAATCACTGCTTCGAAACCACATTCTTTTGCTCTGCGATATTCTTGCTTCCAGGAGTATGGAACAAGGTAGACTTCATAATAAAGCCCAAATATATTTTATTTAATACAGGCACACAAGTAATAAAATAGTGTGGTTCCCTCTGTAAAGTTATAACATTTTTCTTTGAGCTTTCTCATCATAATTTTGATTTTTTTTTTCACTCCATGTGTGTCTATAAGCCTCTATATGATAATGGAAGTAGAATAGTAGGTTTTAACTGAGCAAGGTATAATGGAACAGCAGGAAGCTTGCGAGCCACTTACTTAAATTAAAATGATGAGGAAGAAATAGACATTAATTATCTTAGGCTGCATTATCTTTTCATTTTGCAAGCAAGGAAATATTTAACACCCCAGGAGGAAAAGAATTAACTTCCTTTGAATCTTTCCACAGTGAACCAGTGCTCAAGAAGCAAAATGCTTTACTTTGGACTGGAGAGATAATTTTAAATCACATGCAGGGAGCATCTAGATGAAAGATCAGAATCTAGTATATTCACTGAGCAGAAATGATGAGGTGAAAAAGTAGATAAAGAAGAGAATATGTTCATGTTCGCTCTGTCCCACAAACCATGACCTCTTCCACAGTCACAAGGACCTATTTTCAATTTCAAGGCAATAGCTATAAATGTTAATAATTGCCTTTACCTCTTTCTCTGTAGCTTAGCTTCTTGCCCCATTACCAAAACCATTTAGTTTCTCAGTAATTCATTTTCTACATAATCTCCTTTCATGTCCCATGTTCCCTCTATTGTGTTTCACCTTGGGCAGTACATCATGTAAATAAAGCTTATATCCATAATCGCTTTACTATACTGCTTAAGGGAATTCACTCTTGAAAACTTCATTCCAACCTGTGTCCATTGTAGTAGATCTTTTTAGTCCTCATTAGATGGGACAAGCGGGAGAATATTTTAAAAGATATTTCAGCATCAGTGATGTAACCTTGAGTGTCTATTTAAAACTTTTAGATGTATTTAAAGAATGAGCATGAAATAAATAAAGGCATTTGAGAAAGAAGTTCATCATACTGTATTTTGATTTCAAAAATTTTGGCATTTGAAATAGTTTTTAAGGCCATATTATAGAAGTATAGACACTGATCAAATGGACAAAAATGTCCAAGAACTTGTACTCAAGTATTTTTCAAATTAGAAATAGAGATTTAACATACTAACAGCCTGGAAAATGTGTATATTGGTATTTAAGGCAGAAATAATTGAGTTAAGGCAGGAATGATTGAGTTCTGTATTCTTCCAATGAGCAAGAGGACTCCTAGCTTCTCTGTCCTGGTTTTGGCTGGGATAGAGTTAATTTTCTTCCTAGTAGCTGGTGTAGTGCTGTGTTTTGGATTTAGGATGAGAAAAATTCTGATAACACTGATGTTTTAGTTGTTGCTAAGTAGTGCTTACACTGGTCAAGGGCTTTTCAGCTTCCCATGCTCTGCCAGGTGCACAAGAAGCTGGGAGGGGGCACAGCCAGGACAGCTGTCCCAGACTGGCCAAAGGGCTATGCCATACCATAGGATGTCATGCTCAGTATATAAGCTTGGGGGAGTTGGCTGGGGGTGGTAATCACTGCTCAGGCATGGGCTGGGCGTTGGTTGGCAGATGGTGAGCAATTGTATCACTTTTTTTTTCCTGGGTTTTGGTTTGGTTTGTGTGTTTGTTTTTTTTTCCTTTTCACTATTATTATTATCATTATTATCATTATTGTCAATATTTTATTTTATTTCAATTATTAAACTGTTCTTACCTCAATCCATGAGTTTTCTCACTTTTGCCCTTCCAATGCTCTCCCCCATCCCACCAGGGAGGTGGGTAAGCGAGCGACTGTGTGGTGCTTGGTTGCCAGCTCAGGTTAAACCACGACATTCACACTATCCACAATGTGACTATCTCAGAAAGGACAGAAACAAATGGCCAAATATTTGTGTAAAAAAGGTAGTATTTTTAGTTCTGTTTAGCATTTACTGTAATTAAGAGGTGTGTATCATCTTTTTTAAACCAGGTTTGACTTTGAGTTTGAGTTTAGGATTCCATCAAGCTCTTGTGTGTGAAATGAAAATTAAATAGTTCCCTTCTACTTCTCTGGAAGCCAAATCCCTGTGAAAGCTTTTGACACTCTCTCGTGTCATCTCATGTTTGTTTGATGTGGTTATTGGTGGTTTTCCATCCTTGGCCTTAAATTTCAGTTTATAACAAAACCTAAGCCCTGCTTCATAGCAGTTTTAGTAGTGAACAGTATTCATAGGAGAAAGCAGATAGAATTCTGAAATGCTCTCTGTGCTGGGTACTAGATGGGGGTAAAAATATTGGATAACATGCTACGTACATTTTTTCCATGCAGTTAGAGGCAGTTAAGGACTTATGAAATTGGTTCCTCTAATGCCTTTTATTACATAAAAGAAAAAAATAAAAACAATAATTGCCTTCCAGACTAGAAAAAGCTATTAATGTTCTTTTCCTCTTTTTTTTTTTTCCTTTTTATTCTCAAGCTTCATTCTGACTTGGACAAGGGAGTGGGCACTGTTAAATATACACTTTCAGGAGATGGTGCTGGCACAGTTTTTACCATTGATGAGACCACAGGAGACATTCATGCCATAAGGAGCCTAGATCGAGAAGAAAAACCTTTCTACACACTCCGGGCTCAGGCTGTGGATGTTGACACCAAGAAACCGCTAGAGCCTGAATCAGAGTTCATCATCAAAGTGCAGGACATTAATGATAATGAACCAAAGTTCCTGGATGGGCCTTATGTCGCCAGTGTCCCAGAAATGTCTCCAGTGGGTGAGTAAGAAGCCTTAAACACTTGATAACTAATTGTGTATTACTTAATTGTCTCAATGTGCATTTGAGGAAAGAAAGAGAAGACTGAAATGAAAATATAACTTCTAAAACTTATTACTAGAAATGTCTCGCTCTGTGTGTAGAAATATACAAATTACAGTTTTGTTTTAGCTTTATTTGCTTAATTAGAAACTCATTCTCCTGCAAAATGAGTGCTTGTGACTTTAAGTCTCTGAGGACAAGAGGAGGAAAAAAAAAAGATATTCAAGGCAGGTCCAGGGGTTCTGTGTACCCCCAAACCTGTTATTTCACATGATTAAGTGCGTTCACCTCTCTTCCTAATTTACATTGACTGTTTGCTGTACAGAATTAGATGGTATCTAATTTAGTAGATGAATTTAGTAGATGAATTTAGAATTAGATGGTATCTAATTCTGTATGGCATCTTACCATTTACTGCTCTTGTGTCTGTGGCTGTTAAACTCCTACAGCATTTGCACGATCCCCTAATTATGAATTAGGGGACAATTCTTTATTGAAGTCCTGCTACACTGTGGGTGCTGAAAGTAATGATTGCCATCACCTGGCTCTCCACAATGCAAGAATGGGAGTCAGAGAGGCTCAGCAAGACTGGCTCAATGTCTCAAAAACCTAATGTCCAAGAAAATATTGAGTGCATTGGATTCTTAAGTCAAAAAAAATAGGGGAGTGACTGAAAACATCGTAAGTTTTCAAAAAGCTAGTGTACAGGGGAGAGAATAATTTTCTCTCCAAAGAAAGGTGGACTGTAGTAAGGATACTGAAGTACTGGAATAGGTTTTTGTTTGAAGAATTTTCACAACACGATAGACATTTGCCGGGAAAGACATAAAAAGCATTGATCCTTCTTTGGAGCAGGAGAATAGACTAAATGGTCCCTTCGGGTCTCTGCCTGATGGCTAATTCTGCAGTGGTCCTGAGCAATGTGTTTGCAACACAAGCACACTCCTTGTGTCCTGCTGCCAGATGGCAATTTGGGCTTCCCTGTGGGCACCAGAAATTAATTCGTTCTGGGCTGGGAGGCCTTTAACTTCCCAGTGCTAGTTTCAGCTTATTGCCATTTTCTCTCCTAAGCTGTCTTTTCCCAGTACTTCAGAAGCCAGTACTAGTCATTTAATACTTGCTGTAGTTGCTAACAGTTTTGGAAGTTTTGTGACTCTGAAATGTGCAGAGGCACCCTGTTGCTCTTTCAGCAATGCAGCTCAGATGGTGATGTTTGAAAGACAATCCAGGAGGCAACTAGCTATCTACACAAGGTACTATATGGAATTAATGAGGTAGTATTTTAAATTTTGTGATAAAGAGTGGTAGAATGTGATAAAATGTGATATGAGTAGACATGTAGAGATGATCATGTTGATGTCATACACGTGTAGAGACGAGTTCACTATACTCACCCATAGAGGCACATCTATAGATTCATTATACAGATGCACTATTGCTGTTGCCCCTATTGAGATGCCTAGTAATATTACTTACGGTTATATTACTTATAGATGGAAAACATTTGTTATATTTTCAAGTCTATTTCTGTGGCAAGTTCAGAATAAAATTTTTTCACCAGTGAATGTATGGTTAGTTGTTAAATTGGTTTTAATACTTGATCAGAGAGAAATATGTAAAATATTGGAATGCAGTGCATGCATTCTTTCCCTCCTCTGTTGCTCTCCCTCCATCTTCCTTTCTTATTTTCATAAATATATGTGTGCAGTAGCAGACAAAATGCTAACAGTGGTTTTATTTCATGGGAAACTCTTCAAGGCATGCAATGCATTGTGGCTTTTACATTGACTGGGAGTTGCATGACTAAATGAGATGCAACTGAGTATGCTATGTCATGCATACAGCAGTTTAAAAGAAATGCTTTTCAATTTATTCTCCTTTGGAAAAACAGTAATTGATGCCATGGCAAAAATGCATGCTCTTGATCTTCACTTTATTCAGTCACATTCAATACTTCTAGAAGATTTATTCGTAACAGTTTTTATTTTCCTCTATAAGAAAAATAAAAGATGGAGGAAAATTGATCAGAAAAGACAAGGCAAGGAAGTAGTGCCCAAATGGAGGCCTAACTCCGATTAGTGGTTACTAAAACAGATAACAATTTTTGCTATTGGGTTATCTTGCAGCAAAAATACCCAGAAATGCCTTCTGTCACCTGTGATATGCCAGGAGATTGTGCCTTCTCTGATGTACGTCTCCTACTCTCTTGCTCTGTCTTACCCATGCTTTTGCTACGTTATGCAAGCATAATTTCTCAGAGGATCTAAAACTGCTGCTCCCTATCATCAGTACCATTTAGTTGCACCTATAGAGTTGCCTAGACCTACCACTCACTGCCTGAGGCTGACATTGAAAATCACTTTGATTTTTTAGCTGGTGCAGCATATGGTTGCCTTGGCTTAGGCAAAAACCCTGATAAACTCTTCCTCTTATCTATTTTTTTTACACTTTCATTTTCTAGTTGCCAGTTTTCAATTCCCAAATGTCCTAAACTTCACTTATTATATTTTTGCAACAGCATTTATTACGAACTGTACTCATGGACACTGTTTCCATTGTAGGAAATGCACTACAACATGACTTTTTTCCTCCTTACTAGTCATGTCTATGAGCCTGACAAGCTTTTGTGACTAAAGACTTGATGTCTTTTATTGTCGCATGACATACACATGCAAAGGTTTACCCAGTTTGGTAGTTTATCCTAAGGTTATTGATAATAAGGAGAAAAATATGGATGCCAGAGTTCATGTTGAAAGGGGAATAGAGGGGTAGAGAAGTAAGCCATAAGAGAGGATTGCATGGGGGTGGGAAGTCTCGGGAAGAAAAATTTCCTTCCGACCCCTTGCACACATTTTAGAAATTTTCATGGCCGCACTGTTCTCAGTTTTGTGACATCTCTGACCTTCGTACTAATTGCTGTCACTGAAGCTTTCATGGCTGAGAAGATGTTGTAGTATTCATCCCCTGATTCAGAGTTCCAGTCACAGAGTTAGAATAAAATTGCATGTCAATGATAAAGTTGGACCTTGGTGATTTTTTACTGGAAAAGGTACAAAAAGATGGAAATTCGTAGGATCCTCAATATCTGGTTTTCTGCACATAGATATGATTTAGACATATCTGTCATATCCAAGTTTTTCATGGTAGATTTTGTAAGAACTTTGTTGTGTTATTTTCCATGCATGTTTTAGGTGGAAATTTATTTTTTCCCTTCAAATTCACTTTGAGAACCTATTAAAATTTATTCTGCAGTTTCTGTACATGGGAGTTTATTTGTTTTTCCCTCTCATCAATACCACTCCTTAAAAAAGATTATGGTAATGCATACCTTTTAGCTTTTACTAAAGAAGAGATAATTTTAGGTTTGCCATTTTTACTTGGTGGTGCGTTCTTTACTGGTAGCCAGATTCCTTCATATGCCTTTTACTAAGAAAAAAATGTTAGCAGGATGTTTAGTGTGTTCTAAAACTCTAATTTAAGCCCACTACAAACTAAGACACCTACCTGTTTCATGCCAGAGGCTTGAATAGCCAGCTAGCCTCGCTCCTTCCACATATGCACTGTAATCTGCTCATGTATGATGGACAGGATAGTCAATCACAGATTCAAACAGAAAAGATGTTCTCTTGAAAAGCCCCTTGCTTACCGACGAGTGTAACATGCAGGCTACTGTACCCATCTATGACTTCCATTATTTCTGATACTTTCTAAGTGTGCATAGTTTCCGTATTGTTGTGGAAGGATATTGATACCTCCAAAGCTGACAGTGTATGGCTCACATAATAAATTGGGTGCAGAATACTTTATAGTGAAGAATTTCTTTTGGAAAAGACAATGACATGAAATTCTCTGCAGAGAAACTAAGCAGATGGAGTCAGATTACAACGCAGAACTAATATTTTAAGAACAGAGATTGCTATGCTGTTATCCTATGCCTGATAAGTGACTTATAAAAGCTTAAGGGCTAGACTCCTAATATTTTTTTTTTATATTGGATTAGTTTTATCAATATCTTTATTTGAAAATATTTTCATGATTTAATAAGAGTTCCAAAATGTAGAACAAACCAGAAATGGAAATTTATGCATAAAGACTGAAAAGGGGGCTGTAATTTCCCCATTTGTAAGTTAGTATTAGCAAAATATGTTGTCCTTAAGTATAATTTAATCAACTGTGTTGTTGCTTCTGGCAGCTGTGCCAGTTTTTGTTGCAATATAGCTCACGTAAGCATGCAAATATATGGTGAGTTTAAACCAAGGTTATCCCCTTATTAAAACTATCAGTCCAGATGTCTGCGAATAGGAGCATACCAGCATTAAACACACATTCAAGGGAAGATATATTTTTATACATTTATACATAAAAATGTGCACAGAAATACATCTGCATTTCTCATGCATTTCTTTCACTGACTATGCTGATTTTAATTGATCATATCTATCACATGTGACAAATTTATAACTTCTACTGTCACAGTCTACTAATTGTTTTCTAAGGTATTTCCATTATTCCTCTATGCTTATACACAGACCAGCTAGGGCTGTACTAAACCTATCAATTCCATAACATATAGATTCCATATGTTCTTTCCTAGGCAATTTCATTTCATACCTTTCCACTAGATTAACTCTTTATTGCTTAGGGGGGCTCTACAAACTCCAGATCACCTTGGCAATTATTCTGCCTTTTTGGTTATTTATTAATAAGTAATGGAATATGTTCACAGTAAATAGCTGTATTACTGATTAGACTTCAATATTCTATTTGAAACTGCCTCAATTATAACACTATGTTGTAACACTGAAATGGTCAATGATACTAGAAAGTAGACATCAGGTTATTTTTACTGCATATCCTCCCTAGTGCAAGGCAGCTGCTTGAAGAGTGGTATGGATTTGCTTCCCATGGTACTGGCAGCCTAAAAATAGTCTCTATAAGTTTTCTGGCAGTTTTCCTTC